AGTGACAAAAAATTAGACTTTTCATCCTAGAAATACTGGAAGCTATTTGATTGATTTTATTTAATGTATGGTTAAGATAAACATAAACCTTTTCACAAAATCTTTTAATTCTAACTTAAAAGAGATAGACATAACAGGGGGAGAAATCAAGAGAAAACCTTACACTATTTATTTGTGAAGTAAACATATGGTCTCTCTTAGTCCAAGAAACAGCATAAACTCCCTCTGGGTGCTGTGTGTGGGTCATCCGCTTCAGGAGAGTGGTTTAGGGGAGACAGAAATGGAGTGGCAAGCAGGGAGGGAAAAGGAGGGTCTGCCCTGGCAGCCAGGTCGGCCAAACCCACTCTGGCTTTCAGTGGGTTGGCAGATGGCACAGACAGATTGTCCCACCAGCCTGGAGCTACTAACTAAAACAATTACATTCAAGAAAAGATAAATTTATGCTACAATCAGATTCCTAATATTAGCTGAGGATGATGGGGTAATATTCTAATTGGCTTAAGTTGTGAGCAAAAAATTCTCATAAGGGATGGGCAGAGAAAGGTACAAGCTGGCTTCCATAGGGACACAAAAACTGATCCTTTGAGAAAAAAGCTTATGTCCCACCACTCTGTTCCCCACCCTGCCTGCCATTTAATCTCACATGAGATGTGTTCTTTTACTTTCACTTATATATTTCCTTGAAATCAGAGAAAGCAGATTTGGGGATCTTGGGCTCAATCTAGAAAATAGATATGATTTTGGTGCACTATGCTGTGTGTAAAAAACAAACAAACAAACCAAAACCAAAAAATTTGAATGAGTTGACGACAGTTAAAAATTGAGAGATTTGGCATAAAAATCGGGATTTGGGGCTTTAAAAAATTAAATTTAGCAATGGTGAGCTGATATTGTCAAATGACAACAATCAGCTGGAGATGAGTGATGGACGCCCCTTTCAGGTAGCATAGGCTTACCAATTTGCCACAGTCCTCACTCAGCCCATTTGCCCATTTGCATTTCCATTCCTGGCCTCTGCACACACTCCAGAGGTTTTCAGAGTGATTTACAAAACTGGTGTGCTAGCCCTGAGCTGCCTACTATAAAAAGCTTCCTCTGATACAAAAGTCATTCAAAACAACTCTTTCTGTAAGTAACCCTGATAAAGACAGACCTGGTTCAGCACTATAAACATGCTCAAAGACATGCTGGGAAAGGAGAAAGAGAGATACCCGTCTGGAAGTTAGGGGTGCCATGGGTAGAAGCAGAATAGAGGGCCTTAAAAGACTGGGACATCTTATGGGAAACTCACAGCCTAGTGTTTGGAACTTAGTAGGAGGTTAATAAATATTTGTTTCCATCCTCCTAAGAGCAGATGCAGAGCACAGCGAGAAGGAAATGGAGCCAGAACAGTGTAATGCAATGCACAAAAGCACAGCATGCCAAGAGAGAAGGAGGGAGGAAGTAATTGTAGCCTAGAGAGCAGCAGCAGCAACAGAACAAGCCTAGAGAAGTTAGCATGACAGAGCCAGGTACTATAATAATGGGGACTGCATAATTGTGACATGACTCTGACAGATCTTTGCTAGCCGTGCATCTGTGTGTTAAGCAGGTACACAGAGTCGATAGACATGGGTCGTGGGAAAGAATTCAATCCTTTAATGAAAGGTTGTGGATTAAAACTATAACAATATGTATAAAAAATACAGGGAATAGGTAAAATTTGCAGAATACCTGTATTCAGTTGAAGGACAGAATTTCTATACTTAGCTGAAATAAGTTAATTGTTTAACATTATGTTTTGTATTGTTTTGGGCTTATCATTGGTGTGGCTTAAGTTACTTTGGAAAATTTATTTCTAAAGCCTCAATTTTAAAAAAAGTAGTTACTAAGTGAAGTAAAATTTCCTGAAGCATTATGTCACTACAGTAATAACCTGTCAGAGAATGTTAGAAAAAGGGTGTCGAACGTGGGATGGAAGGCTATAGATGCAATTGCTTTCTTCCCAGCCCTTTCTTAGGGTCATAGCCAGCCAGTCACTGTTTATGCATAGGGTAGCTTTTGCAGTATTTATTTCTTTAAATATTTAATAGTCTTGAGAGACAGTCACTGGCAATAATATGTGGACTTTCTAGCATGTTGTGAATGCTTAATAAATGGTAACAATAAAATCCTGCATGATGAAAACAGCAGTCAGTAAATCTATTATACTCTAAAATATTTTAAAGCCATAGTAGTAACTATTTAGAAAAGTATAAAAAGCAAATACAGTGCATTGACGAAATTATGGTAATAAAGGAACATTTACATTCACGAAAAAGTTCACCCAGGCGATTTCCTCTTAAATTCCTTAAGGAACTGAGAAAAAGTACGGGAAAAGCAGAGAGAGTATGGATTAAAAATAAAAAACTTTTTTCTTAAACCATGTGGAAACCTGCTGACGACGAATGGGTTAGCTACATCCTGTAGAGCGGCGGTGCTCCAAGTGCCTTCACACGCCCTCTAATCCCCCCCACCCGGCAAAGTCCCCTCAATTCCTCGCCGCCTGCAGGTTCGGAAGGACTTGGTTTGGGGAGAGGCGGCCCGCAGGTGCGTGGGCGCGACCCCCCAGGTGTGTGCCGTCACACCGTGACACCGGGGAAACGCGCCTGTGTCCCGACAGGAAGTTCTTTATTACGTCTAAACCCGGGAAACCGGGTACCTAGGACCCGGGACCGCTGGCTTTGCGGACCCTGCTTGGCCTTCAGCGACCCGAGAAGTCGGAGCGAGGGCCGGGGACCCCGCGCCCTAAGTTTAGGAAAGGAAGCGAGGGGGAAAAATAGAGCTGCTCCTTTAAGAACTTCCTTTCCCTTTTACTCTATGTTTACATAACACGGGGGCCGATCCACCGCGGGGCCCGGCGGGGGAAGGC